GGGCCGGGCGGTCATCCAGGCACAGCCCCCAGCCCCGGCTGAAAGAGAGGCCACAGCAGTGTCACCACAGGCATCCAAGGGGCAGCAGCAGGTGATCAATGTCCCAGGATGAGGAGCAATCAGCATTTCCCACTGACACAGCCCGGGCTCTGCAATCCCTGGAGCTGTTCCCACATGGATGGACACCTCTGGGTCCCTTATTGGGGTGGAAACCCCCCAGGGATGGCAGGACATGGGGAAGTCAAAGAGCCAAAGTCAGAAGGGGTAACAACCAGAAACATCCTGGTGGACCCACACCCTCCAGAAACGTCTCTGCTAGTAGGAATAAAGGAGATTATCAGCAGTCAAAATGTGCTAGCCTCCAAACCCACTACAGAAGTGCTCAAACCAGCCTGGACAGGGTTTCTTTGGAGCAGAGGTGGGAGTGGAGCAGCTGAGGTGGACGGTGCCTCCCTCTGCTCCAACTGCTTTTGCTCCGATACCTCCCAAACGCACATGGAATTGTCACCAGTTCAGCCTTCAGTGTTGATTTAAATCAACTCGTTTCCATAAAGGCCGAGGCCCTGGCAAGGCTGAGATGCAGCTCAGATTACTGGGGTTTGTTGTGATTGGGAACGGTGCTGAATTAACTTGAGATGAGATTCCTTTTTAACCCAAACCAGCAGCATGGAAACGAGGGCTGGGAGCAGGAGAGCTTCCCTTTTGGGATGCTGGCAGTGCCACGGGGTGATGCCCAGCAGAGCCAGCACTCCCTCCTCCCTTTCCTATCCCACCCACCAAGTTCCACACTGGACACCTGCAAACAGCTCCTTGGCTGGAGATATCCCCTTCAACTCCCATGTATATCCTTACTGCAATATACTTATATTTCCCTGTGGGAGAAATCAGGAAATGGGTTGCTTTCAGCAGCCCAGCAGTTTGACAGTCTCCATTTCCAAACTCAGGAACATCCTGCTGCTCCAGCCTGGTGGGAAGGGAAGGATGCCTGTGGCTGCTGTGGGGCTGAGCTGGGACAGATGGAGCATGGACTGGGCAGCTGGACACAGGGTCCTGGCACAGCCTAAGCCAGGCACACTGAGGGGTCACTGCATGGCACCTTCTATTTGCACAGAATCACAGAATCCTGGAATGGTTTGGGTTAGAAGGAGCCTTAAAGCTCATCTCATTTTTATCTGTTATTGGAAAACACTCGAACCTTTTCCTCTAAAAATGGAAGGAATGTCCTCAGCGGGCAAAGCCCATGCTCAAGCACTCCATGCTGGATGAGCCCCGGGTGTGACACCAGTGCTGCTCCGAGCTCTCCACTTCTGCCTGTTTGGGTCCCAGCACAGGGGCCCCACAGATCCCCATCAAACTGTCCCTCCTGATCCTTGGACCTGCTTGGGGCACTCCCTGCCCTGCCCCAGCTTACRAAAGAGTCTCTGCCCAGTCTGGGGGTCACTGGGATCTTCCTCAGCTTTCCATCTTTTCCAAAATCTATTTCTTTGTTTAATATTTTACCATCATTCTACCGCTCTGTTCAATTGGCCAAAACACATCTCCAGGCCGGGAAAAACTGGCCTGAGTTTCCCTGTGGCTTTGCAGGGATCTGTAATAAATCCCAATACACAGGGGAAACATGCAGGGGCTGCGCTGCTCTGCCCGTTCCAGCTCGTTCCTTAACGAGCCGGAGGATGGAGGGGATGGAACAATGATTAAATCCCCATCTGTGAGCAGCCTGAGAGGATCTGCAGWTACATTTGAGAGCAGGATTAAAATTCCAAAAGCTCCCAGAGAACTGGAGGAAGGGTCCAAGAAAGCCAGGACAGAATTCAATAAAAACAAAGGCAAGGCTTGGAGCTTGGGAAGAATCAGCTGCACAGCCATGGAGCGGGTGGAGATGGCCAAGGAGCAGCATGGGATGGGGAAGGGCAGCACGTCCCAGGCCCAGGGAAGAGTAAGGTGATGGAGGAAGAGCTCCAGCACTGTGGGAAGAGGATGAAAATCTGTCTGTCTGATTTGGAGCAAAGCCTGAAGGATCCYTCCACTGCAGGAGCATCACCAGTACCCCTGTGCCAGCATCCTACACTGGCCTGAGCGAGGAGACACCTTCCTTGGGGACACTGCTACCACAGCAGGGACAGGACCTCACCCAGGGACCCCTCACATCCAGGCAGACCCTGACCCTCCAGCCCCAGCTGCAGCCAGCTGCAGACCCACAGGGAATCACTTAAGGATCCTCAAACCTTCGGCAGTGCTTGTAAAATAACAAAAACCTTGTGAAAAATAATAATAACCTTGTGTAAAATAATAACAGCCTTGTGTAAAATAATAATCATCATCATCTGAGAGTGTGGTTTTTCCAAACGTGAGGTCTGTTCCAAGCACACCCAGCAGCCCCAGGTCAGCAAGGTCTCGTTTCCTGGCTCCCTCCTCACCGTTCTCCTGCCAACATCCCACTGTAACACGCTCATGTCAGCGCTGGCCCCGGCCTCGCCCTGGCCCCGGGGTGTCACAGCCGGTGACAGACGCCTGCCTGGCCACTCCCAGGGAAGGGCTGCTCCTTCTAGGGGAGCACAGAGACCAAAACCCCACCAGAGGAGCTTCCAGCTGCTCTGTGTCTCCCCCATCACGGCTCCCAGCAGCCCAAGGTCATCACAAGCAGGAAATTCTTCATCCCAAAGTGAAGGTTAAAAGCAGAGGGCCAAGAGTGCTGTGGATACAGGAAAGCTCCGCTGCTCAGAAAGCCATAAATCAGCAGCGATTCCCCTGCATGGGGCCAAGCCCACATGGCCCAGGCTGGGATTTGGGAGYGGGAGCCTGGCCCCAGCAGCCTCCCAGCCACAGAACGCCGGCCCCTGGCCCTGCTCTCCCCTCGCTGCTCCTCACTGTTTTCAAACCTTCCCCTAGCAAGGGAGGAAAATGTTCCTCCAGTGCAAGCCACTGGCTGACAAACCACACTGCGGGCTGAGTTCCTTGCAACTTCCTAACAAAAGGCTGAAACATCAGCCACGGGTGCTAAAAATAAACAAAGGCAGGGAAGAATTTGGCTGGGTCTGGCTTGGCCATGTCAGGCAGAGAGAATCGGAGAGATTCTGCAGAACCTGCAGAGGGCATTGGGGAAAACACTCCAGTTTTATCCATGCWGCCACAGCCCCTGTACCACCCCCAAATCCTCCCAACCCCGTTTCAGAGCATAGAGTGGAAGTCAAGGAATCCCAGAATCGTTTGGGGGGAAGGGACCTTAACGCTCATCTCATCCCACCCCTGCCATGGCAAGGACACCTCCCACTATCCCAGGTTGCTCCAAGCCCCATCAAGCCTGGCCTGGAACACTTCCAAGGATGGGGCAGCCACAGCTGCTCTGGGCAAAACCCCCAACACCCTTAGAGAGATGATCTTGGAGGATAAGAGCATCCCCCCTGTGCCCTGGGCCCCAACCCCCAGCCCCCCAGGGAGGAAGAAGAGGAGGAAGCACTCACTCGAGGAAGCGTGTGATGTACTCGCGGCTGCAGCGGGACCAGGTGAGGGGGGAYGTGTCATACAGGAGCTGTGGAGACATGATGAAAGGTCTTTTCCCAACTGGCTCACAGTCATTGCCGCTTCCATCATGCTGAATCCCAAAACTGTGTAAGAGCACAGCCCATGGAAGGGAGGTGAGCCACAACCACCACAACCACCAYAGCCACCACGTGACACCACGCGACACCAGACACGGCCCCGCTCCCTGCACAGGGCAGGGATGGGGATCTGCCCTGGGGGTCATTCCMGTGACACCCAGCACACTGCCCTCAACTTGGTCCCCTGCTTTTATTTCGGCTTTCCCACTGGAAACACAGGAATATTGAACCAGATCAAGTAATGAAACCTGCTGTGGGTGTTTCCCCACACACACGTCTATTGGGAGCTGCAGTGTTCTAGTGATCTTGTCAAAATTAAACTGAAACTGGGGCAAGCAAAATTCTGTCGCTGACACTACAGACAGACCCTACTTTAAAACTTCTCAGTGGGCAACCCCTGCTCCAAAACYTTCCCAAACCACCCAGGACAATACRYAAGTGCAATTTCTCCAGGCTGCCTTGGATTGTGTGGTTCTCGTTAAATCTGGGACAACCCAAAACTGAACTCTGGAATGAAACCCCCAGGGAGCAAGGGAGGGTTTGCATCAGCGAGGAACCACTTGGGAACCATCTCCCAGCTTCCCCCCATGCCTGCCCCAGCCCCATGACACACGCAGAGGAAGAGGAGGAGGAAGAGGGTGGTACCTGTGTCCGAGCTCGTGGGCCACGGTGAAGGCGAGTGGCAGCCCTGTGTCCTCATTGATGTTGCAGCTGCGGTGGGGCTGGCACATCCCGGCCACGTGGGACAGCCCCAGGGTCTCACAGGGCCTGTTCATGGCAGCACAGAGGTCCTTCCTTGGCCGAGGGGAYGGGGACACACRGACAGACAGACAGACACAGAGCAGAGAGGGTGTTGGAAGGCAGCAGGAGCCAGCACGCGGACGACAGCCAAACAGGAGTGAGAATGGAGAGATCCAACATCCTTCCACAGGGGAAACATTCACGACCTTTCCTTCTCCCTGTCCTCTCCCAGTATCCCCAGCTCATTACTAAGCCTGATTAATGGGAGGTGCTGGCCAGCCCAGCCACATTTATTCCRTGGTGTAAATAAAGCTGATGCTGGGGATAATCACACAATGCTATGGGGAAGCACATCCCAGGGGTGCTGTGGTTTCCCAGGGMTGTTCCAGCCACCCAGCAAGAGCAGCTCCATTGAAGCACAAGGCCTAAAGTGCCTCATTTCTGCTACAGAGCAAMTTTCCAGAGAAGATAAAGCTGCTGCAAGCTGTGAATCATCACCCCAACTACCGCAACAGCCAGCTCCCGGCAGCCTGGAAGTCTCAAACCAGGATTGACTGCAAGGTACACAGACTTGGCTAGAGGCAGGAATTCCTGCCAGCTCCCTGGGAGGTCAGGGGCTTCCCAGAGGCTCCTCTGCCAAGCCCAGCCTCCAAGGGAAAAAGGAGAGTTAAACCCTGTGTACAASTCCTGGGAGGATCCAACTGCTCTGGGGCATGGCAACAGAGCCACGGTGAAAACCAGGTTTGGAAACCTCAACTGCGAGCTGTGTCCAGGTTTAAACCTGAGATTTGGGACCAGTTCACAGAATCACAGACTCCTGGAACGGTTTAGGCTGRAAGRGGTCTTAAAGATCATCTGCCATGGGCAGGGACACCTTCCACAGCAGTTCCAGCCATCAGGACCCARCCATCTCCAGATTTCACACTGCAGACCTCACAGTGCAGGTGTCCAGGCAGGCACAGGGAGATTTCACCTCTCCCGTGGGGCTGTTTCCCTGCCTGCCCCCACTGTGGCCAGGGGAGTTTTCAGCTGCCAGGGCAGCACCTGCAGCCCCAACCCCAAGTGTGGCCCCACACCTGGTGAGCAGGACGGCGACGTCGTGGTGCAGGGGGTGCGAGTCTCCCTTCACATTGATGCTCTTCTGCCACTTGCAGAAGCTTTTCAARGTGTTGTCTGCATGGTGAGAGATCTTCAGGTCCTCCTGCCAACATAAAGGGAAATCTGCCGGAGCTGTTTGGATTTTGGGAGGGGAGAGGTCTGATCCCAGACACATCAGAGTGAAATCAGGAGTGACTGCCATCCAGATGGAATTGCTCCATGTTTATGGCTTGYAGGCTGGGTGGGAAGACAGCCCTTTTCCTGCTTTCTTTTCTTCTGTGATTCAACCAAAACATTAAATCATGCAGTAACAGGGGTTAGGAGCCCCTGCAGGAAACCTTTGCTGGCTCAAGGCRAAGAACAAGGCTGTGGAGCCCCTGAGTGGCCTCAGCCCCTCGGAAGCACCATGGTAGCTAGGACACAAGCACCCAGTGACCCAGAGCCCTCTGCCATCCCACTGATTATCATAACCTGCATTATCAAAAACTACACCCACACCCGACCCTCCAGCTCCTCTGCCCTCATCCTGCCTGGCTCCACCAGGCAAGAGGGGAGGCAGACATGGGCACCTCCACGTCTCTCACACGCTCAGCGAGGCCAGGAGGGCAGCCAGGAGGGATCCTGGATTTCCKGGGCTCCCAGGCCAGCCCAGCCCAGCTGCCAGGGCTCAGTCCCCTCTCTGCTCTCACCTCCTCGTGCTCCAGCAGGATCAGCCGCACTATGGCGATGTTGATGGGGTTCCCGATGCTGGCGTGGTGGAACAGCCCCGCCACCTGCAGTGGGACAGCCACGGGGACAGAGCTGGGAGAGGACAGCCTGGGCACTGCCCTGGAACCTCCAGCCACAGCAGCAGCAGCTCCAGGGGAAKCTGCTGTGGGGCTGTTGACAGCATCTCAGGAATTCCCCACACGGGAGGCAAGAACAGGCACGGGCCTGGAGTGAGGCCTGCCATGGAATCCATTTACACTCGATATGATCTGTGCAGATGCTGGAACCCAGCCAAAGCGCCCGGGGAACCCCTCTGCTCTCTCTCCTAATGTGTTCAACATCTCAAAGGAATTTGCTGCTCCCTGGGTGCTTTCACCACCCCCCAGAACTCCAGGGATGTCACCGAGGCGCTCTGCCAGAGCCCACCCTTCCCYGCCACCAACCAAAGCTCTCGTCTGAATGCAGAGGTGCCACCCTGGCAGCAGCACAGGTACAGACCAAGCCACCTCTCCCAGACCTACTGYTCCGTTTATGGTGCCAGAGAGCCCCTCAGATTCCCAGTGCAGACCACCACAACCTGGCCCTCCTTCCCTCAGCTGTCCTCATGGGCAGGTCCCTGGGAGGCCATGTCCCCAGGGAGGGAAGGAGAAGGGAAGGAGAAGGGAAGGAGAAGGGAAGGGCCTCCAGCCCTACAGGATGGTGAAATGGCCTCAGCTGAGCTGTTCCTGCCTGCAGGGAGGGTCTGGCTCCATGCCTGCTGCCACCCACCCAACCCCTGCACCATCAGAACACTGGGCACGGCAGCCATGCCAAGGACAGGGTGGGGACACTCTGCTGGTGGGGTCTGCTGAGCCCTGGGGTCTTTGTCCTTTCCCTCCCTGGAATGGGATGGGGCAGGGGGATGGACGGGGTTTGGAGCCACCTGGTCCRTGGGAGRTGACCCTGTCCSTGTCAGGGGGTGGGATRGGATGAGYTTTGAGTCCCTCCACACCCAAACCAWTCCAGGACTCCATGGTTCCCTGTCTCCAGCCCTGCAGGGCCCAGCACTCACCATGTTCATGACGGTCAGCACGTACTTCTCRATGTTGTCACTGCCGTGGAACTCCACCATCTTGGTGTCTGCCACCACCAGTGTCTCCACCCACTTCTCCCTGCTGATGGAGCGCTGCTTAATCCTTCTCCTCCTGTGCTGCTTCTGCTCCCACCTTTCCCTGCGCCTCTCGGACCGCTCCAGGCTTTCCTGAGAGTCTGAGGGATTTAAGGAGAAAAAAATTACTTTTTTCCTTGATAAAATGTCTGCAACTCTGATAAAATATCTTCTTTTTTAATTCAAAGGAATAACCTTTGGTGTGGAGAAAGCTCTCCACTTATACCCATAACTCAATGACCCCTGTGCATTTTGCTGTGCTCTGTTCCAAAGGGCTCTGAGCTCAGCCTGCTGCACATGAGCATGACACAGAAAAAATAAACAAAGCATTCAAAGTAATTTCTTTGACCAGAACAGGATTTGCAATATTTCACGAGGAACAAGGAGCCTCCCAGAGCAGTGCCTTAAAGTTTGTACTGACACAGGAATTTGCACAAAACCCTGCAGAGAGGATTGAGAAACAACCTGAGACAAAATCCCGGTGGCTCAACATTTCGGATTACCCAAATCTGTGTTTTTCAGGAAGGGACAGTTCCCAGCACAGCAAACTCTGTGCCCCCGAAGCTGGACTGGTGTCTGGAGCCAAATCCCACAAGCAGCAGAGTCCTGGGTGAGCWGAGACTCTGCAGGACAGCGCAGAGATCCCCTCAGGCACACGGAGACCCGTCCTGCTCCTTCCCCAGGGGAACAAGGGGAATGTTCACTGGGCTGAGCGAAGTCCGGGGGAGGAGGAGGGCCCGGCTGCTCCTCACGCACACCAGCAACTGGGAATTCTGCGGCGGGACTTTTCCTGTGACKCGGCTCCAAGAGCAAGGTCAGGGTCAGCCCCAAGCTGGGTGAAGGCTTTACAAACCTCATCCCACTCAGTGGGAATCGCTTTCATGGCAGGGCTCGGAGGGCCCAGCCTCACTTGTCTAACAATGGCCTCCTACATTTTCTGGGCTGTACTGAACGTTAGTTGTGAAAGGGCGATTTATCCCCCAGCCTGAAAAATCCCAACTATCCGGACCACTTGATGAATTGCTAATACCGCTGTGACAGTTTAATCGCAGCAGCTTCCTTGGGGCTCGTTGCCATTGTGTCCTTGGCTGCTGCAGAGCAGGGGCTGCCCGGGGGAGCTCCTGGAGCATCTCCCTTAGGGATGATCCCTGTCAGACACTGCCCAGATGTGCACAGAGGCAGCCCTGGSCACTAACAGGAGTTAACAACACCGACAGCCCAGCAGCGCCTGGGGCTTTGCAGAGCAAACCAGCAGAGCTCCATGAAAGGGTGGCAGTCACTAAAGTCCTACAGACCCTGGCATTCCTACTCAGGGCATGCCCTGCACATCCACCCCACCAGCCCTCAACAGAGAGGAGATCCACATGGGTTACACACAGCCCATGGTATACCCAGATAAATTAATTTTCAATAATAAACTTCAAAGTCCAGAATAGACTTGAGTCAAGAAAAGACTTCAAAGCTTTAGAAGAAGCCATTAAGATTCTTACCACAGATTAAATAATTAATTTAGATTATCAGAGGAATGCATGAAGATAAGCCCATTACAGAAACAAACCCCAGTTTCTGAAAGCAGAGAGCTCAAGGAAATGTGAAGCACACAATGCACTGCCTGGAAGATGCAGCTTCACCAGGGAGTAAAGCACCCATGAGCCTCTGTGAATTCCTCAGTGCTTGAAATCCTGGATTGAGGAGTTYATCCAACCCATCTGCTCTGGACAGGGAAGGACCCTCACACACTGCCCACAGCAGAAACTCCTGGGGCAGTAACYRAGTTCCATTCCCCAAATCCAATGCCCTGGGGGCCAAAAAGCAAAGTTTCCATAGAAATGAAAGCAAATGGTCAGTCTGCACACMATCCCTCTGCCTGCAGCAGGGCTGGGAAGAGCAGGTAAGAGTGAGAGGCCTGAGGTCCAGGACACATCGAGCCACGGGTGTCRCAAACTTTGCCCAAAGGCCAGTGCAGGGACTGTACCTGGCACACCACAGGATTCCCGCAGAGCCAGGGGCCTCCTGCCCTGCTCAGCCTTGTCCTTGGGCACCTGGCGCTTGTAGATGCGATGGGGCTGTGCTGCTCCCTCCTCCCGAGGGCTGCTGGACACAGGCTCGATGAAATAGTCCTCATCCATGAGCCGAAACACGCCTTTCTGGCAGGGAGACACAAAGGGGCACCGTGAGGCCACCCTCACCCAGATGCACCCTGAGGAGCCTGGAAACCGGGATGATCACGGAATCACAGGATCATGGAATGGTTTGGGTGGGGAGGGACCTTAAAGCCCATCCAGTGCCACCCCTRCTATAAGCAGGGACACCTTCCACTGTTCCAGGRTGYTCCAAGCCCCATCCAACYCAGCCTTGGACACTTCCAGGGAYTCAGGGGCAGCCACAGCTTCTCTGGGCACCCTGTGCCAGGGCAACCCCATCCTCACAGGGAGGAATTCCTTCCCAATATCCCATCTATCCCTGCCCTCTGGCAGAGGGAAGCCATGGAGGATCTGATGGAGTTGTCCTCTCTCCAAAGTGAGAGACACAGCATGAGCACTGCCTCACCAGTTATATGGGATCACTTCCGCAAACCCACAGCAGGTGTTAAGCCCATTCCCCCAAACTGCCACTCTTCTAGGTCACTTTTGCCTTAGGAAATATCTGCAGTGGAATAAAGCAGCAGAGAGTTCAGGAAACAGTGAGCACCTTCGCTACCCAGGAGTTGTACTATCAGTAACACTTCCAGCTCTGAGCCCCTTGTTCCCAGACATGCTCTTCACAATCTCACATGTATGGACTAGAAGGCAGAGAATTGCTCTCTTTGGGAATTTGGAYACCAACAAGTAAACACAGCCCAGAGAGTTCCCAAACCACTGGAATCCATGGGAAATTTACAGTCAGCTCATCCATGGCTGCACCAGACCTGCGTGATGAGATGCTGACTCTGCTGCTGCTGGGAATTTTGCTGTCAYTTTTGTCAGAAAAAGGGGGTTCACCCAGTTCCTGCTATTCCCTTATGGATTAAGGGTCCTTGTGGACTGGGGCTGTACTCACCAGGCCATCGCAGGTGCTGAGGGCAGCCAGGCCTCCCTGCAGCGCCCGGCTCCGCACCTCCCCAATCATATGGCAGGAGTTGTAGGAGTGGGGTTGGATCTTGGCACCAGCGATGCCCCCGAAACGCCTCTCACTGACAAATCCTGGAGCCAGGAGGTGCCTGTTCAGGCTCAGGTTRAATTTCAGGGGTTGCCCTTTGTATTGCAGCTCATAGAAGGCAGGAAACTTGCTCCGGGAGGCAGGAGATCTCCGGTGAAGGGCCCGGTGGGACAAGTCATAGGACAGGAAGGATCCGCTCTCATCAACCTTGATGGGATGGACGATGTCGCTGCCGGAGAGCGGCAGGGGAGGCTCTGGGAGAACGGGTGCAGTGGTTACCGGCAGGGTTTCTCACCTTTCCTCTCCGACCCCTTCCTCCCGCTTGATGCTGAACTCCCACAGCASCTCTGTCAGGCATCCCCACACCAGCGGGACCGGGTAACTGGGACAGCAGAACCCCCTCCTGCCCTCGGGGCTCAGCGCTGGGGTTTGCTGTGGAATAGGGTTAAGGTCAGGGTTAGGGGATGGGTGGGCGAGGGGGTCGGGCAGCTCSGGAGCTCGGCTCTGCCCCGGCTGGCCCTGGTTACCGCGCACACGCTCCCAACTGTTAAAACTCCAGCTGCCGCAAAAAAACCCACACCAAACAACGAAAAAAATCCCAAAAAATCAAATCACTGCTTTGAAACGCTCTTGAGGCACCGTCTCTGGGGGAAAAGCACCCCCGGGCACCGAGCTCCCCGGAGCCTCCCTAGCCGGAGCTCAGCGCTGCGGCCGCGGGGAACGGGAGGGGCCGCGGAGAGCCGGGGCTGCCGGGTCCGACCGTGCCCAGCCCGCCGGGGCGAGCGCAGGGCGGGGGACACCAAGCGCCCCGCCAGCATCCCCGCGGACAATCCTCCGCACATCTCGCGGACAATCCCCCGCACATCCCGCGGACAGTCCCGCGGACAATCCCCCGCACATCCCGCAGATAATTCTGCGGACAGTCCCCCATACATCCCGCGGACAACTCCGCGAACATCCTGCGGACAGTCCCGCGGACAGTCACCCGCACACCCCGCGGACAGTTCCCCGTACGTCCCGCGGACAGCCCCGCGGACAATCCCCCGCACGTCCCGCGGACAATTCCGCGGACAGTCTCCCGCACGTCCCGCGGACAATGCCGCGCACATGCCGCGGACAGTCCCGCGGACACCCAGCACTCATCCTCCGCTCATTCCCGCGGACACCCCACGCTCCGCGGACATCCCGCCCGCATCCCCGCGGACACCCAGCGCTCAGCCCCGCGGACATCCGCGGACATCCGCGGACCCCCCGCACGCCCCTCCCGAGCTCCCGCCGCCGCGGACCTGTCCCCGCGGTGCCCCCGCCCGCGGCCAGCGCCAGCGCGGCGGCGACGGGGACGAGGGGCAGGAGCGGGCGCAGCGCGGCCGGGGCCGCCATGGCTGCGGCGGGCTGGGGGCTCCGCGCACCGCGGGGGGCGCGGTTATGCACATCGGGGGGCGGGGTCATGCATACCAGAGGCGGGGTTAGGAACAACAGATGGGCGGGGTTATGCTCATTAAGGGGCGGGGTTATGCACATCAGGGGGCGTGGTTATGCATAACAGGGGCGGGGTGAGGAACAACAGATGGGCGGGGTTATGCATAACAGGGGCGGGGGAAGGAACAACAGATGGGCGGGGTTATGCATAACAGGGGCGGGGTTATAAACATCAAGGGGCGGGGTTAGGAACAACTGATGGGCGGGGTTATGTAAACCAGACAGACATGTGTTTTACCACCAATTGGGCGGGATTATGTTTATTAAGGGGCGGGCTTATGTACATCAGGGGGCGGGGCTTACATCGCGCGTTGCCGGCGTGGCTCGATGGCGCCCCGTAGCGGTCGCTAAAAAAAACTGGTGAATTTTCGGTCAAAAATGGAAAACGATGCTGAGCTGATGTTGCAACGTCCCTCCTCTCCTCAGCCGGGACTATACGTCGCTGCCTCTTTTTATTTTCTATCTGGTTGAAACGAAGCGGGAACATAAACCCAGGATAAGTCGGTGCTCTTAAGTAAGCTCTCGGGGGCTGCTCGCGGTTCCGGCATCCCACMGCTTTCCCGGACGTCTCCCGGTGCTCCGCTCCTGCCGGCTTTGGGAGGGAGATAATGTTTAATTAGGCGATAATGTTTAATCTACAAATCATCTGGAGCTCGCGCCCTCTGTCAAGTGGAACGGGGAATACACAGGGCGGGCSAGGGGCGGTGCCGAGAGCCAAGGCTGCAAAACCGTACTCGCAGCGCCCGGCTAGCTCAGTCGGTAGAGCATGGGACTCTTAATCCCAGGGTCGTGGGTTCGAGCCCCACGTTGGGCGCATYTSYTTTTTCCTCTTTTTTTCTTCATTTTTATTAATTTCTTTTCACCCGCTCTCGCTCCGCACGATCCCGGCAGCCAACACSTCGCAGCCAACCCGTCGCTGCATGCCCCGAGCGGGGTGTCGGGGGGCGGGGAGCCCGCGGACTCCATGTCCCGGCATGCTCGAGCGGCGGCTGCGCGGCGGGGCCGGGCCGGGCAGCGCCGGGGCCCCGCGGGGAGCGGCCGGAGGAGGGACCGGCCCTTATAAATGGCGCCCAAGCAGGACCCCAAGCCCAAGTTCCAGGAGGGTGAGTGCCACCAGGGCCCGGGAGTGCGGGCAGGCAGGGATGGGTGGAGGGAGGGCAGGCCCGGGGTACCGGAGCCGCAGGAGTGGTGGAGCCGCGGCCGCGCCCGGCGCTGGGGGCTCGCCCCGGTGCTCGCAGCTCGGGGGGAWTTGGCTTTCACCGCTCCTCAACAGCCCCGACGAGGTGGGAATACGTGGGAAAGCTGAATTCCCGCAGTCTTTGTCTCTTCCCGTCCCTCCTCTTCCCTCCCAATAACACGCGGGCCCTTCCCACCCCGTTATTTCAAATATGCTTCATTTTCCTGCATGGACATTCATCGGCATTGAAACTGCTGAAATCTGTCAAGTCTGTCGCGATTTTCATTTCAATGCGTTTGAAAGGTGGTTATTATTTATTGTTCCATGGAAGGTAGCCTAGTGCAGGAGGATTCATGGAGGCARCAGTAAGATTCCAGCTGTGCTGGAATCCACATCTGCAACAAAGCACCGGGGTTTGGGTGAATAAGCAGGATTTGAGCATTTTAGGAGGCTTGTTCTGCGTATATTTTGCTGCATAGGTGATGGCTGTGATTGAGAGTAATATAAGTAAGATAAAAATAGCGATACGGTGTAAGATGGATGCCCCATCCCTGGAATGKCCAAGGCTGGACGGGGCTTGGAGCAGCYTGGGAYAGTGGAAGGTGTCCCTACCCCTGGCAGGGTGGAATGTGTGCCCTTTGGGATAAGGAACASTGTGGATCCTGGGGACAGGCCTTGTGTGAGGCAGCAGGAGCCTGCCAGGTTATCACAGAGACAAAGAGCCCTTTCTGCAGATCATTCATGTGTTTTTWAAAAATAAATATTCYTCAGTAACTGTGGGCATCTCTGCTRGYAAACATTGCACATCTGTGAAGCAGAGATGTGTTTTCCACCAGCTSTAGTGAGCACTGTGACAATGAGGGTGGTAATGTCCCCTCTGATTGTCAGTCCTGACCGTAGGGACGTTTTTAAATAAAATCACTGACTGTGTGATGTAGGGCACTTCGGAAGAGCCCTCCTGTGCCTTYTTCTTTCTTGATACACAGAAGCATTTTACATCAGCAGCTCATCTCCCCCAAAATGTGAGGCACTGCAGCTTCCAGAAAAAAATGTCTGACTTCAGATATCCTGTGTTAAGCACATTGAAATTCCCACAGTGTAACCACACAATGTGACTTGGCCCTTGAGGAGATAAAACCAGGCTGAAGGACAATCTCCTTCTGCTTAAACCCCCAAAGTGAGGAGAGTCTCTTGCTGCTGCCCAGCCCCTGCACTGCCCCATCCCCAGGATGGGTGGGGAAGCAGCAGTGGGGTCTGTCTTCCTGACTTCCCTGAAATGGGAATGCCAGGTCCTGCTCTTCCTGCAGGAAAAGGACACGGATGGCAGTGGCTTTCCTGTGTCAGAAGGTTATGGTGCAGAGGTRGGATCTCTTAGTAGAGTGAATTCCCTGCCTTGGATCAGTAACCCCACAGAGGGGTGGCTGGAGCTGCTTGTGGGTGAGCCCAGCATGGTCTGGGGGCTGCAGCTGGAGTKGAGGCTGGGGAGGAGTTCTCAGCCAGCCTTGCTGTGGGATTTGGGAATGTCTGTCAGCTCAGGGAGGGGCAGGAAWGTGGGGTTTGGTGCCAGGTGCTGCCAAGGTCGCTGGCACCACTGTTTGTGTGCAGCTGCTCCTGCCCAGAGATCCTCGGGGGGATCCTCAGGGATCTCTGCTCTGGGGTCTCAGTAATCCCAGCTCCGATCCCCTTTGAKGTCAGAGTGAATTTGCTCCTCCAAACAATACCTGCCTTGGAGTTGCATCCCAGTCTGCCCCTGGACTGGCTCTGTGCTATTCCTGGTGACCCAAGTTATGGAAATGGCCCTCTGCAGCTCTGAGCTGTCTCTCTGCACTTCCCTTGCAGGTGAGCGAGTGCTTTGTTTCCATGGACCTCTCCTTTATGAAGCCAAGGTAGGTGTGTGTGGCTGCAGGTGGCTCTCACTGTTAYGCTGGACAGCAAGGGAGTGTTTCACTTTGCCTGCTGTGCCTCTGGATGGGATCAAGGACTGAAACTAAAATTAGCAAAAACCTGTCTGAAATCAATTTTAAACCCTGSAGCTCTATTCCAGAACAATTTCAGGAAGCCCAGTAGCATTGTGCAGCTATTCTGGTGACTCCCAGAGGCTGCTGGAATAGCCCAGGACACTGGGACACCTTTGTGCCTGCAGGATTTGGTGTCTGAGCTTCACCTGGAGCTTCCTTGGGGGGAGGTGGCTCCGTGCAGCCCGTGGTCCTCAGCACCCCCAGCGCACAGAGAAGGCTGCATTGCAGTGCCAAAGGAAGTGGCATTCCCAGCTCTGTGGCTTTTTAACCACAGGAACCTGCACTGCAGATCTGTGTCCCTGCTGCCTCAGTGTTACTGCTGGCACAGCTCTGGGGTTCAGTGCTTCCACTCCCTGTGARAGGGACAAAAAGGGCTCTTGTGGCTGTGTGGGCCAGAAGGCTCRCAGAAATTCCTGGGGCACCTCAGGAAGGGATTTAAATCCTTTACGATTTAGTGTCAATAAATGTTAACACAGGAAGCCAGGAGAAATGCGTGACTTCTCTCTTCAGGAGAAAGAGTTATAATGCTCAAATAGCACCCAGAGCATTAAGGGGCTTTGGGCTGCTCCAAACCATTCCCATTTTGGTGTTCCTCCTCTGCTCTCTGCCATCTCTGGAACAGGAGGATGAGGTTGTTGGGAATGTGCGCTCAGGGTTGTTGTGCCAGTGCCTGCAGACARGAGGGTGATTGAGGTTTCTGGTTTTGTTGAAATAAACTTGTGTCACTCAAACAGCTCAGAGCTGGACAGCAGCTGTGCTGCTCCATCCTGTGTCCCTCTTTTTTTCCAGAGTGGAATGAATATTGCAGGATATGGCTGTGCCAGCTGGGTGCTGGAAGGGATTTCCCAGATGCCTGTTTATATTGAGTGGATCCTTCTGAGTTCCTGCACTGGCAGAATGAACTCGAAGTTTAATTTTAAAGGGTTTTATTTGTTTATTTAAAGGATTTAATTTTAAAAGGTGCTTTGTCAGTAGTAAGGAATAATAACCTTGGCTTTCTTCCTGCTCCTTTGATCTATTTTTCTCCTGTGGTTCTCAATCCAGCAGTTGTTTTGTTCCTGACCTCATCCTTGGTGTCCCACAGCAAGGTGGTCAGAGCAGCTCTTTGTGCTGGAGCAGTGTGAGGGCTTGTGGCAGACAGGAGCTGTTTGTGCCTCTSTGCAATCCAGAGTTGAAGGAGCTTCACTTCAGGGCCTTCAAACCTCCAGCAGGGAMAATATTTTGCTACMGAACTCTTTGAGTCATCGTTTGCTYCATGCTCAGCCCCTTTATTCYGCCAGACAAGTRGCRACAGGCACAGGCTGTGTGTGGCTGGGTTTAATGTGAGGCTGTCCAAACATATGGCAGAGGTTCCAACAGAAGAACCTTAGTCCTTGCTACAGGTCTACATGAGCCTGAGTTTAAATCCTATATGTGGCATTTTGCAGATGTTTCCTGGACTAGGCGGTTCCTCTCTGTTGGCATTTTTTTTAGTTGAAGAGGGTACATCACAGTGTGGTCTTGAGAAAATGTTGTATAGCCRAAGGTTCTGCCCTCTCAAACACTTAGAGGTGGCTCTGAATGCCAAKCAAATACCAATTATAACTTCTGTGAGTAGAAAAACTCCTTTAAAAGGGACTAAAATCTGGAGYCCCAGAGGGGCATCCTGTGTGTTTTACAGCAGCCCCATTCTGTCACTGCTCGGGGGGGAACAGTGGCAGCTGAATCTCAGCACCTCCAGAACA